CGGCGCGCCTTACAACGGGGCCTCGCCGGAGCGTTCCAATGGCTGCACCGCACTCATGGAAGCTCGGCGGCTCCGTTCTGCCACCGCATGCGAGTGGACTTTGAGCCCGCTGAGCTACCGTAGCCGGCCAGAATAAAGCTGGGGAGGGGGGACTTGTCACGTGACTCGTGCTGGCTGGGGTTCAGTCTGGGGGGGGGTGGGGCTAGCGCCTGTGGAACGTGCGGTGGCTGTCGCGTGCGCTGAGTCCCTCGTGGTGGATGCGGGCGCGGGCTGGTTGTCCGGTCCGCCCCGCCCCGGCGGTGGGAGCGAGGAGCAGTGTCCGAGGAATAAGGCGCGACCCGAGCCGGTTGCAGGGACTGAATGTTTCGGCGACGGGTCCTGCCGGGGTGGGGCTTCGCGTCCTCACGCGCTTCGAGGCTTTGCACGTGCCTGACTGGTGCGTGGTGCGAGGGTCCTAGCGCGGGGCAGGTTGGAAGTGGTCTGAGGAGGACGTCACTGCAGCGGTGACAATTTCTCTTTGTGTCAGTTCAGTCCACCAGGGTTGTCATATTGAATGAAATAGTTTGAATGTTTGTAAAGGTTGCCCATTAGCCAGTTTCAGGAAGAAGATAGGATTTATCTCCTTACAAAGAAAGTAAATGTCCTAAATTCCGAGAAATCAAAGCCTGGGGCCTTTTAACCAGACTGGTAAAAAGAAAAGAGTATTTACAGTGATATGGAAGTCTCCCCAAGAATAATTTAAAAATGCTCAACAAAGGTAATTTCTGTTGAGTAAGATCCGAGCCCAAATTTGGGAGTTATGATAAGTTGAGTAGGAGGAGCCCACTGACGGCAGCTCACTCAATAAAAACCTGTAACTTACTGTCCCAATTTGGAGGTGACTTCACTTGCAGAACAACGAAGGAAGAATCGCAAGTGTAAACTCGGATTAGATTGATCACCTAATCCAACCTCTCCGTGAACACGAATCTCTTAGTTCACGCTGAAGCTGCGGAGCACCTGAAAGGGACTGAAGGAAGGGGACGTAGTCCTATCACTGGTGAGCCCAGCTCATTGAATCGTATTGCTGAGGCCACCCTATTGAACCGTACTACTGAGGCCAACCCATTAAATTGTACTACTGAGGAATGAAACCATATTTTGGTATTTGGCTTCTCGGAATTCTAGGATTGTAAGTATATTATGAAAAATAATAGTATTGATTCAAATTTAACTTTTAGTTGTAATTGTAGTTGTTTGTGTAACACTAATTCTTATAGCATTGTTTGAGAAGGAAGTGCATTTGGAGCATTGTTTCTGATATATGTAATTATTGTGTTTTTAATGTTTGTGGTGTTTCTTAAAGCTAAGCAGTGTTATATACGTAGCAAAAAGTTTTAAAATAAAATTGTGTTGTATAAATTAAGTGTGTAATCATTGTGAAATCGTGCAATCAGCTAACTACTCCCCCAGCCAGTGCATCAAAACGAATCAGTAAATTGTGTGGGATTTTCTCTATTCCATAACCCACTAGAGACAAGGGTATGGTGCAGCGGGTCCAATAAACGATGTTACCAAACATGCTGCTTTCATTCCACCCAGACAGCGGCGCCAGCTTGATTCTTCTCTAAGTCTGAACTAGGAGTTTGCAAGACCCAAGACCGTGCGAGTGAGCAGAGAAGCCGCAGAGAAGCCTCAGAACGGGTGCGCCTGCCTTGTATTCCCTTGGTGCTTTGCTTCCTTCTGAGTTCTCAGTGGAGGCATTCCAAGAACACTTGTTTTTCTCTGACTGCCTGGAAACTAGAAGGTTTTTTGCTTGCATGCAGCCCTCATGGTGATCTGCCAGGATTTTCCATGCTGCTGTAGCATGTTCTTTTTCCACCAGTCTGGTCCAGTCAGGGAGAGCACTTGGGGTTTTACTCTTTTCATATAAACATGGGAGTTTTATTTTGCAAGTATTGCAAAAAAAAAGTCTGCCTTTTTCATCTGGAAAAACTCCCAACTCTTTCTCTTTGAGGGCCAGATTCATGATGTTTGAATAATTGAGGCTGTTAATTTTGGGGAACTGTGGATGGATGGACTAGTCATTTCTGTTGTGAGTATTGCACAATATTAGGGGTCTTTAAATATAAATTAAGCAATAATTCTGGTGTTTCTGATTAAAACTTGCTTTCAAACAAACTTTTCTAAGTTCTTTTGTTTTCTACTTTAATTCTAAGACATTTGTGTGCTAGATAACTTTAGTAAAACATTGTCTATATGCAAAACCAGTTTATGGTGAGAATATGTAGTCCTGAAAACCATGTTGCAGATTGTAGAGGCATTGTAGATGTGGAAGGAGGCAAGGCTGTTTTGCCAAAGTAAATCTGGAACAGACCACAGGCAGTCTTCTAGGCCACGGCTGTCCAACTTGTGGCCTACAGGCAGCATGTGGCTTGCAAGGGGTTGATCAGCACCCCCTGGACTCCCACCCAGCATGGACTACCGGTGCTTCCTGAGTCTGCAGGGTGGGGAACACCAGGAGGTCATGGGCGGGGGGGGGGATCCCCCAGAGGCCAGCCAACACTTCCGCCACCAACATGCTGCTGGTGGAGCCAATTTCAGGGGAGGCACTCCATAGGAGCACTTGCTGTCAGGGGGGGCAACAGCACCCTTCCTGTGTGACTCTTGTGCCACCCAGCCACCTCTGCCCCTATCACTGTGGCTGCAGAAGGCTTTCCCTCTGGCTCTTGCTTTCTACATCTGCCTCAGGGGGTGAGATGGCACAAGGCAGGTCATGGAGGGGAGGAGGCAGAGGAAATCCTGCAGCTGATGAGCTGCAGGGAAACATGGGCAGGCAGGCTGGGCTGCCTGCACATATGTGCTGAAGTGGTGGAGGGAGCTGTGTTTATTCAAGTGGCTAGTAAAGTGGATCTTCAGTTGTGAAGAAGGCATTGATGTTAGTAATATACAGCTTAATTTAACTTATTAATGGTGGTTAATAGTGAAGGGATTGTCTGAGGTGCTGAGTCAATTTTCACAGATGTCAGTGCAAATTGAACGTGATTAGCATTGAACAGATCTGGACCCAGAAGGACCAGGAATGCAAGGGCCTGGTCTAGATGCTAAGCTGTTGAGGTGCTCTTGCCCAATACTGAGCACTTTCTTCCTGTGACTTGATTTGAGGGTGCTTATTCTTTCATTGGAGATGTTAGTCTCTTTGCAGGACTGGATCTTACATTCCAGCAGAGTGAGGTCATTCTGAAATGAATTGGTCATATATATTATAGTAGAAGGTCAGAATCCATGGACAGTCTTGATGGTGGTAATAAGAGTGATCTAATGCTCAATTGCCCTTTTATGCTGAAAAGCTCATTATACTTCCTACTTAGCAGAAAAGAAGGGAACGAGCCCACCCAGATTGAGACAAACTCGGGTTTGATAGGGAAGTTATGTCTTGGCATTCATTCTATGGGCATCCCAGCTGATTGCTCTACTGTGTCTGCATATTCTGAAGCTCACCGTGAGGCGCTAATGTGACTGATGAAGTCTGTGGTATCTTACCAGAGCTGGTTAGCTCCCTTCCAAGAGGAGGGAAAACTACATAGGAAAGCTACTTTCTGGTTCCTTTCCCCCTTACAAATCCTAACTGATCCACCTGCTTGATGTTCATCTCTTGTTGGGGACAGTATGAGCAATTCCTTTGCTTCTGGAAGAAGCAGGGTTGCCATTGCCAACTCTAATGCAATTGCATTAGCTGGTGGAGGCTGGAGCTTGATTGAGAATCTCAATTTAAAATAAAACAAGGAAAAGCTTGAAAGCATGGAGTGATTGCATCCAAATGATCTAGAAACCAGAGGGCAAATGCAAAGAATCCAAATGTGAGTATTTCTTTTAAAGGCAAGGATTTT